TGCTCAGCTGTGGCAGACATTTTTAATCAACTTGCCTACAAAAGGTAATTATTTGTAGACGTCAACTCAGTGATTATTTCCTTAAAGTTTGTTTAAAATCCATTCAGTGGTTCACGAGTTATTTTGCTAACAGTATGAACAAACACAAAAACAGAAACATAACCATCATTTCACCTTCAGCAGTGGAAAATATACAACAGGAGGAGTTTGAACACAGAAACCTCAGTAATAATTGTACATTCACAAAGAAATATCACATTTCTTCATAAACGCACACATGATGAGAATGTGCATGCGTCTATTGATCACCGCCATCACTGACTCTCCTCGGTGAGTCACATCTATATTTAGTGAAGGAGTTACAACAATAACGACTGGTGTTCTTAAAGAAACTCCTCTCGGTGGCGGGCATGGAGTACATTAGCTGCCGGTTCAAAGCGGAGAAAAGCAACGCCGCCTTTTTCTTTTTGAACTCGCCTTTCAGAGGGAATATTGAGCGCAGACAGCTGGAGAGCGAGTGACTCGATTGGCTGCCAGGTGGGAGTGTGACAGCCGCTTCAAGATGGTTTTAATGATGTTATCGAGGCCTGATGAAAGCTGCTACAAAGCAAAAGCTGCAGGTTTGAACTCGTATTACAGCTCCCGTTCAATACGAGTGAAATCAAGTCGGCTGAGTTTAAGAGGGTCTCTCAGACCTCCAACCTTGGCCCAGTTCACGTAGGTCAGCCTAATTGGCTGTTTCTTATTGGACCATTAATTCACTCCGTGACCCAGTCTTTGCTGCCATCTGCTCCGGCCGGCTACACGGAGGAGCAATTAGACGTCTAATGTTGAACTCGTCAAGTTATTTTCTCACCTTGGGCTCTAAAAATAGGCCGAACGTTGCGCAGCAGTCCTGCAGAGCACAGAGAGGATCTGTCTGAGACAAGTTCTGCGTTTACCACCCCATCGTCCGCAAACCCTCTCTGATGGAGTGGATTCATCAGCCCACCATACGGACTCCCACCCACAACCTGATGTAATATTTATCTGCAGAGATATTCAACTTTCATTACACTTCCCTCCTCCTCTTCCTCCTCCTCCTTCTCCTCCTCATCTTCTTTGTTTTCTTTTGTTGTTTGATGCTCCCTTCCCGGATTGTCGTTTTTAAACGTCCCTGCAAAGGCATGCTAACACACGTGCACATCCCATCATGGTCTTGTCTGTATGTGCATCTGCAGAAGCTGGTGGGGTTGTATCAGCCAACCTCTGCATCAACCCCCCCCCCCCCCCACTGTGATGGTCTTTGGCCTGCATGAGCACGAGCGAAAGGACAAAATCAGGTTGAATAAAATCACAGCTCAGAAAGAAGCTCATCATTTTTTAGTAATAAGTGGAGTTTTACATGTCAGTAACGTGTTTTTAAAAAGTGAAAACATCTGTTTTATGCTTCACATTTCAGTCACAGCTCACCTTTAACTTGTTCCCCCCAAAAAGTCCTAATTGGACTCACATGTATTTCCTTGTGTTGCGTCCTCCCTTTTCAAGTTATCCCAATATTTAAAATGATAAACGTGTTAACAGAAATCCTCCCCCGTTAAAAATATTTTAAAATTTCTCTGCGCTCTTTTAGAGTACACAGCTTCTCTAAATCTTCAGATTTGAGTCCGAGGCACCGATCCAGCCTGCCTCCCTGATCCTCCTGCTGAGATATAAACCTGTAACCTCGACATGATATGAAACTACATTAGCATACATTTCTCAATGCCCACTTCCCCCTACAGTCCCCACCCTTGTATGTTTTTTTTACCCACCATGTTTCTATGGCAACCCCAGCCATTGAGGTGACCCACTGTCTCTTAGATATTTCCATTGACTTGTGCCTTTAAGTCTCTCCAAATGTTTGACGTGGTCATTGTTAGCTGATAATGTTTCACTTTTCAAATATTACAGCAGCTACTCTGTTTTCACAGTTTAATAATACAAAGAAAATCCATTTTGGTTTCATTCCAGAAAGTAAACTTTTAAGATTTACAGTCGGATTTCAGTCTCTTCAGTAAAAAAGTAACGTATTGGGATTAGACTGTCCAATAAATATTGATCGGAATAGGCTGAGAACGGCACTAAAGTTCAGGTGAGGCTCAATAACGAGACGAGAAGCACTCGTAGGAGAAAGTTTACACATGGAGTTTGGGCATTTGGGCTTTTCTCTACCTCACAGTGTTTTATAACTTTAAATAAAGCTGCAGTGAAATTCTGAGTTAGGTGAAAACAACTAGGAAATTACCACAAGGTGACTAAAACAATGCACATTTTGAAACACTTGGTCATGCGGTAACAACCTGAAGTCTTAAGAAGTTGGGATGTTGAGTAAAATATAAGTAAAATTAGAATGTAGAAACCTCATAAATCCATATTTCATTCTAGAAACCATGTCGAATGCGGCACCTAATAAATTGTACTCATTTTTAGAAAGACAAAAAACTAATTTAACATTTGATGGCAGTAACACATCTAGAAGAACTGGTTATAGAGCTATGTTTACCACAGTGATGCAGCCCCTCTTCTTCTAACAACAGTTTGTAAACCTCTAAAACTGAGGAGACCAGCTGGTGGAGTTTCTGGAGGAGAATGTTGTCTTGTTTTTGTCAGATGTAGGATTTTAGATGCTCAATAGTCCTGCCAGAGTTTGTTTTTCCTGTTATATACTATTCTGCATTGTTGATGACTTTCCAGTCGTTTAAGCTGCAAAGATGTGTAAGCTGTAAAGACACTAATGCACCCCTATACCATAAGAGAGGCAGTTTTTTTTTTCAATTGTGACCTAAAAACAGGCTTTCTCCTTAGCTGGGAGGATTTGGTATCTATAATTTTCTAAATTAATTTCATATGTAGCGCCTGTAATACGCAGCTAAAGAGTTAACCAATAGTTTAGATTGAAATGTAGTACATTGGTTGGGGCCCTAGGAACATTCTTTTAAAGATAGCCATACTAAAAGCTTACAGGAGATACAACTTGGTGCCTCCACTTAGCAGGGAATTATGACTTTACCAGTTATTTAACCCACTAAGAATTGAATTTGATTCACAAAGAAAATTTAACAAAACAACAACTTTTCAACCATAAAACTCAACCCCAAAATAACCCATTGCAGGCCTGAATCAATGCTTGGGTGCATGGGAGCTAAAAACAAACAGCTCATTTGCTCACTGAGCAAATAAAATAAAAAGCGTGTGCATTTGTTTACTTGTGTACTCACAAATCCTTCAAAGTTTGAAACTGGATCAGGAAAGATAGAGTGGATATCCCTTTAATATGGCACTGAGTAAGGTAAGTAGGCAGGTGATGTCACATGAACACAGAGATCCTTTCTGGCAGCAACCTCAATGGTGGGAACCCAACGGCTGAAATGGGGAATGTCTACTCACCCAGCAGGTCCAAAGATTATTGTAGCTTCTGGTCCACTGTACACATTAACAACTCCCAGTCCTACATATTCCATAGTAAAACACACTGGCTTCTCATATGGAACCATTAAGAGCTTAACCAGCCACTAATGTTTGGATTTACATTTCATTATACAAAATCTGAGCTGCTACATTGTGCTGGCATGCTAAAATGCTAGTTGCACTATGGTTTCCATTTGCACACTGCATCATTTTGAAACAGCATAAAACATACAGACAAAGGTATTTACCTTTCATATGCTTCTTAAAGTCTGTTACAGTCAACCATTGTCATGGACAGCTTTACTCTGTTATTGTCCCACATCTGAGTCTCTGCCTTGTCTGATTTTCACACTGACCCACGTTTCATGCAGCGTACCATTAATCCCACCCACTCCCATCTGATTGGGCAAAATAAAATGCTTAATCTAATACAAAACAAAACTGAACAAGACTGACACTTTGTACAACTCAAAGAGGAGTTTGTAGTCTGCCATGTGGCACCATTCCTCAAACAAACTTTTATGTGAACTTCAAGGAACATAGTAAAAAAACGACAACAGCCTGTTTTAGTCTGCTTCAACTAGATTTTCTTGACCAAATATGAACTGTTTTTAAAATGATACATTTTAAATGACAGAGTTTTTTTTTTCATTCAGTTCCACTTTTATCACTTAGACATTGTTTTTTAAACTTAAATGATATTACTATGAACTTAGTTTAACACTTACTATATAGCACAGTTCAAACTGGGCTACATATATTTTGATTCTTCTGACCACAGAACATTATTTTTGTTTATTTTTATTTTTTTTACTTTGCCTCAGTCCATTTTAAATGAGCTTTGGCCCAGAGAAGATGCGGCATTTCTGGATGGTGTTCACATGTAGCTGTTTATTGGCATGATAGAGCTTTGCCCAGCGTTTATGGATTGCAAGGTTTACTGTGTTTGCAGACAATGATTTGTGGAAGTTTTCCTGAGCACCTCCAGTGATGACATAACAGAATCAGACCTGTTTTTAATGCAGTCGAGCCTCCAATCTAGACTCAGCCTTGACCTTTGAGCACAGAAATGCCTTCAGATTCTTACATTATTTGGACATTTTTGAACTGTAGATGATGGGATGTTCAAAGTCTTCCCAATTTTATGAATTTGTGAAAATTAAATAATATAATAATAATAATGATATAGAAACAAATATTCTGAAATTGTTATACATGTATTATTAGATGCAGCCTCTGCTCATTTTTACCTCTGAGAGATTCAGCTACACTAAAAGGCTTTATTTACATTCGGTCGTTTTTCTAACCTGTTGCCAAATAATCAAATTTATTGCAAACTTTCAATATTTTAAATTTTACACAACAGCCTAACTGTTTTTGTAAGTGGGGTTGTACTTCTATTTGTTTCAGTCACCCGTAAATAGACTCATGGGCTGTGACTTCATTTGGTTTAAAAATAATTTTTAGACATGTTATTCTCATTAAGAAAAGATTTGAAAGAAATCTGCCTTCAGACTCTGTAACCCTCCACTTGTTTCTTCTTCATCCAGCAAAACGTTCTACCTGGTATGATGCTGCACGCACTGTCCTGCACCAAGCGGCGGGGCGGTTCTGCTCTGTACTGGCCTCTCCACATGTTCCTGCTGGAGATGCTGACACCAGGAGTTCTGCCCAGCATCTCCAGATTACCGCCTTCAGCCAAGCGTGAGATCATCATCGACGGGGACTTGGTGATCGGAGCCTTGTTCCCCGTGCATGAAAAAGGCGACGGGATGGAGGACTGTGGGAAGATCAACGAGGAGCGAGGGATCCAGAGATTGGAGGCCATGCTGCTGGCGCTGGATGAGATCAACTCCAGTGATCACATCCTTCCTGGACTCGAGCTGGGCGCCCACATCCTGGACACCTGCTCCAAGGACACATACGCTCTGGAGCAGTCTCTAGATTTTGTCCGGGCCTCCCTCACCAAGGTGCACGATCCAGGCTTCATCTGCCCTGACGGCTCCAGACCCGTCCAAAACGAGGTGCCGCTGGCCATTTCTGGAGTTATTGGAGGATCCTACAGTGACGTCTCGATTCAGGTAAGGTGGAAATTCACGACATTCTGATTATCATTGACCTTTTCTTGTTGTGTTCATTATTTAGCAAGTAGGTTCCTCAAAGTCGGTGAAAAGTTAAATGAACAAAACAAAAATGTCAAAGCTGCCAATGTTTTAATGTAATGTCCTGCTTTAGTAGTTTTTGACCAGTTATTTGATTCATTTACTAATTTATTTACTAATGTGTATAACCTACACAGTACATTAGGCTTTTCAGTAAAATTCACATTAGTTCTAATATACGTTTGGCTCAAAATATAATTAAATCAGTCTAAAAGAAGAATGAAATAGGACCAAACATTAGCTTGTTTGAAGGAATTCATGTTTAAATTGAACGCAGTATTTATGAATTTCAACCTTTTAACATAAAGAACTGGACTAAAAACAAGTCATTACTTTCATTTCCTGTGTATTCTGTTTGTCAAATAAATAACCTTAAATTCTGTAGTTTGATTTCAGCAAAGAATTTACATTTATAGGTTACAAAGCTGCTTGTAAGCTAAATGGTACTTGTAATCAAACATAAAATGAAATACCGGTACTTGTGAACATTGCAACTTAAAGTGTCTCAGTGTGTTCGGAGGACGACAGGAAGCTTTCAAAAGTCATGAAAAACATTTTCAGTCATAGTGCACCTTGAATGGATAAAATATAATGAAGATAATCTCATTTTAAAAGGAATGGAGTTCAAGCCTTGTAAAAACGAAGTGATAGCCTTTTATTGTGTTTGCTAAGGCTGATTGATTGTGACGGCCATCTTATTTATTTAATTGTTTTATTTAATTCATTCATTCATTCTTTTAAAGAAACAAAACAAATACATTAAAAAGAAAAACACTGAATGAAAAGGGTGCAGAAAGCAGAAGAAAATTCTGATAGAATCTGCCCCTTATTAAAAAAAAAAAAAAAAAACCTACAAACAAACATTTTAGCTGACTGAAAAAAAAAAGCTGGAGACATCCATTGGTTGCTTTCTGATGTTTTATTTACAGAATATTCCTCCATTGGATCATGAAATATACATATATGCACATGCATTTTTTTCTGGAAACCTTACTTCAAACACATCAAGTAAATTTAAAGATAAAGTAAAACGTTCATCATTGAGTCAATCATCCATTCTCAATCGACATGAAGCGCTGGAACCAACAAGAGAAACACCCTCGGTGGGCTGGTGATCGGAAGGTTGTTATATAGGTTGTTAGGTTGTTATATATATATATATATATATATATATATATATATATATATATACATATATATATATATATATATATATATACCACATTATTCAAAGACACCTATGGTTTACATATCTTAAATGCTGATTTCATTGAATTCACAAAAACCACGTACACAAAAATAAAACTTCCTTTGAGCTTTTTCTAATTAATCCAGTTATATCTGAACCTACAGGTTGAACGTGCTCTTCAAATTAAAGAGCTGAAATTTCTAAATCCTTCCCATCAAAAACATTTCATATTAAGAGAATGTGTTCATTCACTACCCTTAAGGCAAATTATTATTATTTATCTGGTAACTTGTTTTAACGATTAGCAACATATTCACCTTTTGTTTTTTAAAATGAAGTTTGTCAAATCCACTGCACCCACATTGGCTTCAAGAACCATGGAGACATTTGGCATCTCTCATAACTTTAAACTTATTTTAATAAATTGTTCCACTTAATAATTTAATATTTTACACACCATGTTATCATGTTATGTGGTTTTTAAAAAAACCATTTATGCTTGCTGACATTTTTTTTTCATTGATCTTGTTATAAAAAAGTCCAACCAGGAGGGACTTTGCTTGAAGCATCAACATTTACTGAAATATCCATCACTGTGGCAGTGATTCTCTGATTTGCATCGAACACTGACCTTTCACGCACACATAAGAAAGGTTGCCGGTGGAAATGCATCAGAACATAATTAATTAATTTTCATTCCCCTCAGGCGCCATAATTGCTGTGCTGCACAAGGTGTCAGTGAGACAAAGTACACAGGGATAATTTATTCACTTTCAATTAACTCCTGACAACTTTTTTCCTACCATTCAAAAAAACATTCGCACATAACTCACACAAACACACGCACACGTTTTTCATGTTTGCATCAGTGATATCTCAAATAGCATCAAAAGTTGGAGTGGGATTACATCAGTTGGGACAAAGATTTAAAACAATCAGCACCACCCAGTTTTGCCAGAATAAGAAAAAATAGTATTTTTTTCCTTCAACTTAAAAACCATTTAGATGTTATTGTTTATAACTAATAAGTGCATAAATACAGACTGGTGCTGAAGTCAAGTTCCACTTGAGCATAACTGTGAGACACCATTCCTAACATCTTGACTCATCTAATGAAGCATCCTTGTGATTCTCTGTGGAGTTAATGAAGCCTTCCATAGCTCCATGCCCGTCATGTAATCTTCTTCCTCGTGTGTCTGAGTTGCACGTCACTTAACTTTTAAAATGTACTCTCTGTCGTCCCATCACAGCATCTATTATTAATGTAATGCGAGGTTGTGAGTTTTACAGCTGCACTACAGCGCAACAGAAAACAGACCTCGGCCTCAGATGACTGAGAACTGTTTAGCTCTTATCCTTTGCATCGTGAATAAACACGTAAGTGGGATGATCATATTTTAATTTGAACAAAACATTTGACATTTGGTGTTCTACATGTTTGAGTCTTGCATGGATTCAGAGCTGCAGCTTAATTTATTGTAAGGAGACAGAGAAAAATCTTTTTATCCCATCATGCTTAAGGAATCATTCAGATTTTTTAATCTTGTGAAAAGACTTTGAACAGTTAGTGTCATACCTGCTGTAGATAGTTCTTGGAATGTGCTCTTTTTGGAGAAGCAGAGATTATTTTTGAACAGATAGATGAGCCAACACTGAATATGATTGATGTTTTACCAATAAACTCTATTAATTTTTACATTATCATCAATTTTACTTTACAGTTATTTACACAAAAGCTTTGCATGTCTGCAGCTCGTTACATGTTAAATCATCCAGAATATAAAAGGAAAAATATGTTAAAAATAATCAATAACACTATCTTTGCTTAAACTGTTAAAGATGTTTCAAAACCAAAATAGTCCATGCTCAATAATCCAGATATCTGGATAGTTTCTTTTTTTTGCTGAAACCTTTCACTTTCCTGGTTCTTTGGAACCAGTTTGACATGACTGTCTATGAGGAAGAGGGCCAGCTTTGGAAGAGGAGGCGTGCCAAAGACACCATCTTAGCACCAACATACCTGGTTTGTTCCACTTTGGAGTAAGCTAAGCTGTTTGGGGGAAGAATCAGTTTTGTGTTGTGTGTTTCCTTGACTGATGAAGTCTTCTGGATGGAAGGTGAAACATTTCAGCAAAAAAAAGAAACTGTCCAGATGACCTGACTGAAAATTGTTGTTAAATATCTTGTTTCTCTGCCAGGGCATGCAGAATATTTGGATACATTTAATTTTGCAATATGTGTTAAATATGGAGTACCATTTGGTAACGACTATTACTTTTTATTTAAATAATCATCCATAGAGCAAATGTCATGCAGAGTGAAGTTTTTTTAAATCAGCATTTTCATGAACTGCTTCGAACCTTATGAGATGGCAATAAAATGCAGCTCAGACTAGATGCTAATTTAGGCTCATTCACACAAAAGTTGAGCAAAGTTTGTTTTTATGCTGCCTTTGGCTATTCATAAGTCACTGATCTCCATCCATGACCACATTCTGTAGAGACATAAGCTTTCAGGAATGAAGCAAGAATCATGGAAGAGGCTTGAAGCAGAACTCAGATGTGTTGACATGGAGCACAATATTTTTTAATGTGGGAGTGATGTCTCCCTCACATTGTATTCAAACCATGCTGAATTACATTAAGCTTTTGTCAATGTCAATTTCATTTATAGATTATGTTTACAAAAGAAGGTTGACCAAAGTGCTTTACAAACTGATTAAAAACAGGAAAAGCCAACAATAAACTGGATTCCAAAAATCTCACATTAAAACATCAAAGTTCATGCTCAATCATCCAGGTACCAAATCCAATAATGCTCAGTCAGGTCATCTGGACAGTTTTTTTTTTTTTTTGTAGAAAGACGTTTCGCCCTCTATCCGGAGGGCTTCATCAGTCTGAGGAGTCCCACGTAAACACCAAGCAGTAAACTCTTTAAGTGAACCAACCAGTTTGGTGGAGATAAGATGGTTTCTGGGAGCTGCCCTCTCCCCCGTCGACTCCTCCCAGGCAGGAAGCCACAGCCAAAGTGGTTCAAGGCATCAAAGTTCATGCTCAGTCATCCAGGTATGAAATCCAATAATGCTCAGTCAGGTCATCTCACATTAAAACCAGCAGGTATGAAACAAAATACAATAAGGAACAACATAAACGTGATGGAACTCAAAATGAGCTTGAAATAAAGGCCAGTGTTTTTATGTGCAAGTTTTTCATTAAGCACTTCTATTTGTGGTTTTAAATTGGAAACAAAGGTGCTTTGAGTCACCATCAATCTTCCCTCGGTAATAAATCTGTTTGTTGTTGTTTAATCCTTCAGCTGGGCATACTTCACCACATTTATGAACCAAAAATCTTCTTGATCTTTTCACACGGCAGTAGTTTACTGTCTTGTTAGTACCTTGCTTCACAGCACAAATGCGGATCAGGTGTGGTTTGGCTTCAAAGACCCCGCCCCCCTTGACTGGGTCCATTCAGAAATCACACAAAGACTGCCAGACGGCATCTAAGTCCCAGCTTGAGGTGTTTTGTGAAAGAATGTTTTCAGACACAAGTCCAAATTAATTTCTGCTTCCCTAATTTGAAGTTGTTCACAGAGGTGCCTACAGCAGGTGAGATATTTACTGTTTAAAATCCTTCCACACTACCCCACTTAAAAAAAAAAAAAACTGAAGTGTTTTTTTTAAAGCTGAATGGAGACAGGCAGGTCTGAGGATCCCCACTGGGAAGTAATA